TGTGTGTGTGTGTGCGTGTCGGTTCCGTCCGGGAACGGTTCCGTCGATTCCGATGCGAGTCGAGTCGACAGCGTCGCAAAATCAAATCAAATCAAATCAAAACAAACAACAACATCAGAATGGGAAGGGTCGACACGACACTACAAAAGAGACAACGCGAGCAGAACCCCATGGGGCAGCAAAAAAGTCCGAGAACCACGCGTGGATTCCCACGGGCAGCAAAAACGCACCGTACTCCCCAAAATCCATGTCGTCGTCGTCGTCGTCGATTTCACCGTCGCCGGCCCGGACCAGTGCATCCGAGGCACCGTGGCTGCGGATGTCCCCGTCCCCGTCGTCGCCCGCGTCCGGGACCCTTTTTGCCTCGGAGCCCTCCTTCGTGACAGCCGGGACGTGCCAGGCGCGGTCCCGGAAGCGGAGCCAAACCAGCGAAGACACCACCACCAGAAGCAGCGTCGTCGCCCAGAGAGCCACCCCCTCGGCCGTGCCGGTGCTGCTGCTGCTGCTGCTGGTCGGTGGCATCGTATCGTATGGTGACCCACTATCGGACATCATGTCGCATCCTATCGTATCGTTTGCCGAATCGTTGCACTACTGCTGGGATGATTTGCATACCGTACCGTACCTTGCGGCATCGGAAGCGAAAACTGTCAAAACCGTTTGAAAGTACGGTAAAGTATGAAGTCGTACCAGGTACTACTCGTCTCGACTGGACGGGATAAAAACTCGCGAAAACGATTGGTCTGCTTTGGTGGCAGTGGAAGTCGAACGCACTGTATTGGGAATCAGTGTTCAATATTCAACAATAACCTCACCCCTAATATATATTTTTTGTGCTACTGATTCGTGCGTAGTACAGTAGAGGTTATCAGATCCTTCTAGAAGTAGTAGTACCACTACTGATACTAGTAGTAGGTTTCATTCAGTTATTATTATTATTATTATTACTACTACTACTACTACTACTACTACTACTACTACTACTACTACTACTACTACTACTACTACTACTACTACTACTACTAGCTACTAGACTGGCACTAGTAGGACTACTAGTACAAAGTATTACTACTACTAGTACTAGTAGTAGTAGAGGCACCGGTGGTATACAGATGAGTGTGCATCAGTGGTGAAAGGTCACAGTGAGTGTGTATCGGTGAGTGCTGCTTTTCACATAGTAGCGCTTGTAGCACTACAGGAGCTAGCACTACAGCTTCCACTATGTGAAAAATAGAATTAGCTTGAGAAAATGAAATAGAAGTAGTTAACCACCACCAGTAGTAGTAGATCTAGTACTGAAAGTACAGCAACTACTAGTATTACTATTTCTGGTACTACTTCTGTTTTTCACATAGTAGTAGTACTACTACTACT